GCAACATCATTATTCAGAAAGAAGAAAAAATAAGTAATATGTTATTTATAGTGCAAGGCAAACTGGAGGTCCAAGGTGACCCCAAAACCAATAGATTCGGAGAAGGTGATTTTTTTGGAGAGGAACTACTACAATTGGGATTTAATGCTGACAGCTGTCTTCCTAAGTCCAATATACTTGTTCGAGCCCTTACCTTGGTGGAAGCCTTTGCTCTGGAGCCTGATGACTTGAAAAGCAATAGGGCAGCCATGGTTTTACAATCAGCATGGCAGCGTCATAAGTTAAGACGAGTAGTTAAGGAAGCTGTCGAGAGGAAGGAGAGAAGGTCACGGTAAGCACTATGCCTCAGTTTCTCATATTCATGAATCTGGTATTTCAAGGCTTGATGCCTCTCAATTGCTAGATCTATCTAAGTTTTTCTGCCAGATAAGTGAAATTCTCGTTGCTTTTTAAATTACGCTATCTTCAAAAGCAGTTCCTAATATTGTTTCAGGCCAAGAATATTGTCCGGAACAATTGATTCAAAAAGCTCCCATGCTGCTCTAGCAAAATGGGAACCCTTCAAAAAGCTTTCTGGTGCACTCCAATGGAAGGTTAACGACTATATGCTATACAAGTCACAAGGAATTACAGATGTTGATCTAGTGATGCTGCTACATAAACTTCCCAAGGAATTAAGCACACAAATGAAGAGTGAACTCTGTTTTGACCTGCTCAATAAAGTGAGTTTCTATCTAAATTTTTGGGAAATATTATTGCTTAGAATGAGAATGTTAACTTCTAATCCCCATCTTCTGCTTGATAGATTGATGTTTGCATATTTGCATTTAGGATTTATTTTTTTATTTTTTTATATAGAAGAGAGCGTAGTTGTATTAATAATCAAAACAATTACAATGCAAGTTATATACGTAGTTGCCATAGAGGTTGGATAGGAAATCTAAAAACACAAGAAAGGACTTATAACACCAATACAAAGAGTTTTGTTCATGACAAATAAAACAATTAGGCGTTGAGAATCTCTAAATATCAATATATACAATGAGGGTGTTAAGAGAGTTATGTAGAACTTGAAGAGATTATCCCTAAGCTTTTTTGTTACCTCTAGTAACCACAGCTATTGAGACCACTCATTTATGGCACTGGAGAGTAGAGGGCATGGCAATATAGTGTCTCTCACCACTACAATGTTTAGCTAATGTCCAAATTTTGCTCCTAGTCTGTTGATAGATGAAAACCATCCACCTACATTGCTAGAATGGTGCACCCAAGCTATTTAGTATCACCTTAGCCACCCTACTAGCTGCAAGATCAACTGGGTCATACTTCCTCTTCCCTTTCCCCTCCTTTTTCTTGCTATGGGATAAAAGCACACAACCTTCAAATCTCTTCCAAGTCTACAAGCCATGCCTACCTTTCCTTGCCATTTTTGCCACTTGTCTACGAGGCATGTCTCTAAGAATCGAATGTGATGCTTGCTGCTTTGGATAGTCACCAATCCAATCTGTATTCTTATCCTTGTTCATAACCCCCACTTCACTAGGCACTTGTTCATTAGGACTAGATTGGTTCTCAATGAACAACTACCATTTAGCTATTCCAACATCTTTGATTCCCTTGTTACCAACGAAGGACTCTATAATCACTGAGCCAATGGAAAACTTGATTGTTGGAAGTGCCAACAATTTACCATTTGAAAGAACTATTTCCTCAAATATCTCTAGTCCCAATACTTATCAAGTTTTGCCCTTAGCCATGTTCCATAAGGTTTAGGAACTTTCTCTCAATGTCATAAAATTCGAGAACAGTCAGCCCACTAATCATGATTAGGTGGGAGGTGGTGGGGTATCACACTGCCTCGCCCGCTTTTCTAGCTAATTTGGCAATGGTAGGTCAAGATTGGTTGCCTTTTGTTAGATCTATAACATAATCATGTTATGATCTAAGAACCATCGCTGAAAACTTTCTCAAATGACCTCAACGAGCTTGTCTACTTTTTTTTTTTTTTTATAGCAAAATTTTATTATTATTAAGTACAAGGGGTACTCAAACCCTTGACATCAAAGCATGATGGATAGATTTCTTCTTAAAACATACATAAATACACAATTCAGAAAGTTTGCTAATCGTTCCTCATGCTCGATCTAGGATCTTGCAACCAGTCTGAGAGGGAAATTTTGTGTCCTCTTTTTCTCTCCTTGAGCCATATGAATGATTTGGCTTGAATCAATTGAAATAGTTGGTCTATATCCACTGTCTCATTGTTGAAGATTTTTCCATTATGAGCTAACCAAATTGTCCATATGACTGCAAACCAAATCACCTCCCATCCCTCCCTTGACCTTTTATCTTTGAACCAGCATTCATGTTAAACCAAAGCCTCTGAACAAGATTTAGCAAGAACACCTTCCACATCCCATTAACGACAGCATTCCCCATAATATATTAGCTATATGGCAGTGTAGAAATAGGTGCCTTGTTGATTCATCACCCTGCTCACACATTTTACACCTAATCATACTAACATCTCTCAATACACCCCTCCTCCATAAATTAACTTTAGATGGAATTCTATCTTGTGTGACTAGCCAATTGAATGCACTGACCTTTGTGGGTATGTGGGGGTTCCAAATCCTGTTGAAAATTACCCCCCTTGTGGATGAGAAGGATCTTGATAGTGTCTGGTAACTTGAACTTGAACTATAGATGCCATTTTGATCATGTTTCTAGTGCCATTCGTCCCTTCTTTCATTGGTAAGTGATTTGGTGTTCAACCTACTAATCATATTCTGTAATTGGATAGCTTCCTCTTCCCGGAGAGTACGCCTCCACTTCAAATCCCAAGTCCACTCTCTATTCTTCCATTTGCCCATTTGACTTATTACATTTTCTTTACCTATAGATAATAAAAATAATCTAGGAAACAAGTTAGCCAACTCACCAATCCCCACCCAATTTTCCTTCCAGAACAACATTTCCTTACCTTAACCCATATACAACTCAAAACCTCTCTCTAGCCATCCTACGTTCCTCCCCCCTATTTCATTTAGCCTACATACATCTCTCCACCATAGAGATCCTAACTCACTATTCTCTTTCATCCATCTCATCCAATTTACACCATTTCTCCCATACTTTGCTTTTAAAACCTTGTGCCACAAACCACCCTCCCCCTTAGCTAATCTTCCTCACCATTTCCCCATTAAAGCTGAATTAAAAGTTCTAAGATTTTTTACTCTAAGACCCCTTTCCTCTTTGTTTTTGCACACATTTTCCCACCCTACCCAATTTATCATCCTTTTCTCATCATTCCCTCCCCATAAAAAAGCCCTCCTAACGGAGTCTAATTTTTTAATCACCCATTTCAGAATGAGAAACATACTCATAAAAAATACTGGTAGGCTTGACAACACAGCATTGATCAGAGTAATTCGGCCTCCTATAGATACGAATCTCCCCTTCCATTGTGACAAGTTCTTCTTGAAATTTTCCACCAACGGTTGCTAGATTTTCAATCTTCTTGGGTTGTCCCCAATAGGGACCCCTAAATACTTGAAAGGCATAACTCTCAGCTTGCAATTTAAAATTGCAGCAGCTCTTGATAGGCATTCTTCAACCACATGCACTCCCATCAACTGGATTTTCACATAGTTGATCTTAAGTCCAGAAACAAGCTCAAAAATTCTTATGATACACTTCACAACCCATATATTGTCCTCTGTAGCATATCCAAATAAAATCATGTTATCTGCAAATTGCAAGTGGGAAATGTTCAACTGATCAAAACCTACTAATACACCAGCAAACTTTTTTGAAATGGTTGACGCAATTATTCCATTCAAGCCTTCGACAATTATCAAGAATAAAAACGGTGATAGCGGATCACCTTGCCTCAACTCTTGATTGACTGAGAACTAATCTGTAGGACTACCATTAACCAAAATTGAAACTTTGCTGGTGCTTAGACATTCTTGGATCCAACCTCGCCACTTGGAATCAAATCCCATACGTTCTAACATGTAATCTAGGAATTTCCAACTGACTTTGTCATAAGCCTTTTCAAAATCAATCTTGAATATAAAGATACTCTTTCTTTTCCTGTGTACTTCATCTATAACCTCATTTGCAACCACTACACCATCCATGAGTTGTCTACTTTTCACAAAAGTTGTTTATTGTTCCCCAATGATTTTCTACATAACTCGACTCAATCTATTTGCAAGTATCTTAGTTAGGATTTTATACATAGCGCCAATCAAGAAAATGGGTTTGAAATCCTCCAACTCTAATGGCTTTTCCTTCTTAGGGATGAGAACAATGAAAGATTCATTCAATCCTCTGACTAGCTTGCCATTCTCATGAAATTCCTGTATCAAGCCCATGATATCTTCCTTCAACACCTCCCACATTTCTCTTATGAATCATAAATTAAATCCATCTTGCCCTAGCACCTTTGTAACTCTGGAGTCCCAAACTGTCTTCTTAACTACTTCTTCAATAAAATTGTCAACTAACATGGTAGCAGAATCTGGGGAAAGCCAGTTAAAATTTATTCCATCCAATGTTGGTCTTCTCCACTCCTCATCCTTGAAATAACTTGTGTAGTGCTCTACAAACTTCTGTCTTAACGTCTGTACATCATCCACCAATTGTCCATCCATATGCAAACAACATATCTCCTTCTTCCTAATTCTGCTATTGACACATTTATGGAAATAACATGTATTGGCATCTCCACTCTTGATCCACATTTTCCTAGATTTCTGTTTCAACATGCCTTCTTTTGTTTTTAAACGTTTCCATAAATTTACAAAGTTCCTTTGTCTCTCTACACATTCTTCAGTTGACAAGTTATTTTGTTCCCCTTTAGTATCCAAGCTAACAATGGCTACTTTATATTATGCAATGTTCCTATCTATTTCTTCCTTGAAATTCTTACTCCAAACTTTAAGAAACCTCTTGACAGCTTTAAGTTTTTCCTTCAAATAGTATCTCTTCCATCTAGATACCTTTGTTGAATTCCATACCTTTTTGATTTCGTCCCTCAAACTTGGTGTGTCCAGCCATGTATCAAACCATTTGAATGGCCTTGGTCCCCAATCCACTGAGATGTTCTTTAGAATGATAGGACAATGATCTGATATGGAGCGACCTAATCCCCACTCTTTGCAATCACTCAAATTCAATAGCCAATCCTCTGATAGTAAGAATCGATCAATCCTGCTCATGGATGCCCCATTTACTTGATACCAAGTATATCTTCTACCACGCAAAGCCAAATCAACAAGATTCGAGTCTCTGATAAAATCCTCAAATTCTCTCATTTCTGTTAAGGACCCTTTGCCCTCTCCTCTTTCTTGTCTACTCTTGACTGCATTGAAATCGCCTACTAAACACCAATTGCCTTTAGTGCCTAACACTAGCAATTTTAACTCTTGCCACAGAGCCCTTTTGCTAGTCATGTTACAAGGAGAATACACATTTACAATGTGAACAGGCACATCATCTTTTTCGCAAAACCCATAAACACCTATATAGTTTTCCCATTCATACACTGTGTCTTTTTTGAAGACTCCTAAGTTCCATACACAAATTAGGCCTCTTGAAAGACAATTTGATGGTTTGAACACCCATTCAAGTTCATCATGACTCCATAGAGCCTAGCACAATCTTCTATCCACTGTTTCTAATTTGGATTCCTGTATTGCAAGAAAATCTACTTTCTCCTTCATCACTAATTCTTTTAGTTCCCTTCTTTTCTCCCTTTTCCCCAACCCTCCAACATTATATGAAAGAATAATCATTGGGTGAGTTCATTGACCTACTTTCCATTGCCTTTGCTAATTGCTTTTGCTCCCAATTTAGCTGCTCTATCTCTTTTCTCCATGCGTTTGATCTATTGGCATATGTCCGATTCCTCACCTTAACCAAGTGCTCTGATCCGCTTAGCAAATTCCGAAATTCCCTCAACTTTATATTTTTTCCACCCTTTGCAAATCTCCTTATTTCGATTTATAATGCCACTGTCACCCACAAATTCGCTGACCATCACCTTATTTGGATTGGGCAAGAAAGTTGGTAGATTTTCTGTCAATTATTGTGTAACTTTACACTTTTCACCCATGCTCCTCTTTTGGAGTATTGTTGAGGCTGCTTTGTAGATTGCGATGCAAGATCTGGCTCTCTTCTTTGTGAGATTCTTTGATTTCTTCCTTTTCTCATGTCTTTCTCTGTCTACTAAAGTTGTTGCTGGAACGATGAGTGATGTGCCCTTACAGGCTAGAGCTTTAGAGGTAACTCACCAAAGAATTCTAACTTGAATGCAAGAGGTTAAAGAAGAAGGGTCACATCACTTAATAAAACAACGCATTTCCCTTATTTTGGCATTTAAGTCCTTTAGGTTCTATAAAATGTGTAGTGTAGTCCTTAAAACTTCAATTTTGTGCAATTTTTTTTTTCATTTTCTAATGTTTTGGACATTTTTTTAAAATAAAAAATTTAAAATATTCAAAACACCCAATGTCGAAATTGCGACATCTAGACATTGCTAGATGCTAGGTGTTGGGTCTAGCCCAGTCGTACCCATTGACTTCCGCAACCTTGCTTTCTTTCCAATCTTTTTAAGTTTGAATTTGATTTCGAAATTGGAATCAACATCCCATGCATCCACAGATAAAGTAAGTGTCTAGCAATTGTTGATATTCAATCCTCAACTTCCTCGTTTTTGTAGCTAAGATTTAAACATTCTTGAAACATTTCAAAGGGCTAGCCACCTCTAAGCAAATTCACTCTCTTAGGGCCCTAGTAAAAGACTCATCCACCACCAAAACCTGCCCCATGGAGCTTCCTATCCTTTGTATTGTTGATTATATCACAAGGGAGGCCAAAAAAGCAAACTTAGAAGGGGCACATTTGAAAAGTCATAATTTTCAAGGGCCAAAGATTTGTCAAAATGCCTCAAAATAATCAAGACAATCAAAGTTTCATGGTGCTTTCTACAGATATCAATCCAAATCATAACTATTTGCAAACTAAAATGAGAAAATCTTTTTACCAGTCTCTCTGGTATGCACACTAAATCTTAGTCTTCGTAACAAAGTAATTGCGTTTTGTAGGCTTGTGAGATTAACCCTCTTGTGAGTATGACCTTCCTTATCATTAAGAGAGATTTTAGAGAAGAAACCAAGGTTTTCCAATCGGTTTGTAATGAAAGCACTGATTTCTCCTCTTTAAGCAACTGGATCTGTCCAAGGAGGGAACCTAGATCCTTAGTAGCCTTCGTTGGAGTAGTCATTGGCTTCTCATGGGTCCTACCTTTGTTGTTGCCTGCCATCACCACCAACATAGAAAGAGAAGAGAGTCGTGGAGTGCAGAAGAGGAGATGATTCCAATGGCAAGGTAAGGACTTGTTTGTAGCGCCTTCGTGTTTTGTAATATCTAGGAAAATCGTGGGGAAAAGAAAGAAAAGAAAAGGGTAGGGCTTCTATCAAAAGGAGAGAGAACCCTAAAAAGAGGGCCTAACCAAACCCTCATTTTTTTTGGATAGGTAAATAGGAACTGCATTCATAATAAAAATTCTTGAACAACTCACACAAAAAGATTTTAGTAGGAGGAAACAGATCATACAACTGTCCATATCCAATCCCACTTGAATCTCCATATGAGATTTTTACATAATAGAAGAAAACAATGAAAAAGATGGCAATCTCAACCCTTATGCAATCCCTAAAAATATAGATCCTGATAACTAACCAAGGAGACCACTTAAGAAGATTGACTTCTTGTTGTATCGCTTTTTCTATATCTACTGGAAAAATACCTCCAAAATTACTGTCATAAATAACCAATAAACACGACATCTTTTACAAATTAATTGACTGTAGCAAAAGCTCCACTAGAGACCTAAGGAGCATAAAAATCCTTATTAAAAATCGAAAGGAAAAAATGTAAACTTGAAAGAAAACGGCTACACAAATCCTAGGGCGACAGAGCATACATAGGAAAATCCTTAGAATACTGTTGCCCAAGAAAAGATGAAAGATAAGCTAGGGTTTCTTTTTGGAGAGGGAGGAGGCAGAACCAAACCCTAGTTAGGTGGTAGCTATGTTCCTTATTTCCTTATAATCAGACCAATCTTGATTATGATTAGTTGAAGTTTATATGGAGGCAATTTAGCATAGCTTAAGAGCAATCTCGCTTTTAAGCAAATAACTTTCTTGAAACTTGCTTAAAACCATTATAAAAGTCAAATTCAAATTTTCTCTCAATCAAATTTTAAATTTGTGAGTGAAAAATTTGCTTAAAAACAAACCAAACAACTCCATGGTTTTCATTCATACTCTGACCTAGTGCATATGATATTAGTAACAATTTACTTCCTTTATTTTTTATGCAAATCATGCATAATGTATGTGGCACAAAGGATAATAAAAGAAAATAAAAAACAAAACTCTAACAAATGCAACAAGGTTTTCATGTTTCATTAGTATGTAGAATGAACATATGAGAGAAAGATAATGTCTTGTACTCGAAACTGAAATCATCAATAAGCACTCAGTCTAAACCAAAAATGTAATGTGTTATGGCTAGTGTCTACTCAAAAGTTGATGTAAAACTAATCTTTGATCATTATGAGTTTCTCACTTCTAAATGCAGAGTCAAATGATTAATGTTTTTGAATTTTTCAAAATTTTCATGTTTTACACATTACTTATATTTTCTCTTCACCAATCTGTTTTATCACATTTTTCCATTTAAAATACCATCCTATCCCACCTTACTATGTCATTTTTTTTCTTTTATGTTTACATACCCTGCTTTCTCTGTCGTCTTGCTGGCCAATATATATATATATATTAGTTGGTGTCCACAAGTTATGCATAGATGACAAGAAATTGCATTAGAGTCTAAATAATAAAGCCAATTCTAATTGTTAATGATCAAACTATAAATGCATTTTTGTGCATCTCTCATTTGTGATTATTATTCTCATTTCAATTATTTATTTACTAAGGTGGAGGCTTTTAGTGTGACTGGGAGAAAACTATTGGATGCCCTGTGTTTCTGTGCCAAACCAGTATTGTACATGGAGGGCTACCTTTTTGGGGAAGGAGACAAGGTTGATCGGATGCTATTTATTGTGCAAGGTAAACTACAAATCTTCAACATTAGAAACAGTGACAGCAAAGTTCACTTAAAAGGTGGTGACTTTTGTGGAGAGGAACTTGTACAATGGGTTCAGGATCCCAAGTCATTACACCTTCCTGAATCCACCAAAACCATTCAAGCCATTTCCAAGGTAGAAGCCTTTTCTCTAGAGTCTAGTGACTTGAAACGCAATTGGGAGGCTGTACACAAACAAGCGGTTGCTCATGTTATATCATCCTTGCAAAAGAGGTTACAGGAAAGGAAGCATTCACTAGCCTTGAGGGAAGCGAAGTCAACTATTCCTTAGGAAATTTATGTTGAATTTTAGGTGGCCATTTGGATGTACTTGTCTCTGCATATAATGAACTACATGAAAGCTATAGTTGGTGTTGTCATTCATAACATAGAATAAGCCTTTTGAGAGAACATTTCGGGTAGGAAGTTCATGGCATCAGACCATTTGTTTTGGACATCATTTGAACCTCATCATTTCTCTTTCTAAGTATTGAAAATTTGTGGTCTTACTCAATGAGGCTGTTTTGCAACATCACTTGCAACCAAATAGAAGAGTAAGAAAATGTAAAGTTTGTTTAGTTTCACTTCCAAAATTCTTTGGGTGAGTTAATGGCCAAAAATTATTGGAGAAAAGTTACTACAAACTAACAACCATATATCAACTTCACCTGAGCAACTAAACTTTCATTGAGAATGTTGTCTGGAAAAATAGTAGGGGTAAGCTTTGCCGTTGTACACGTGGAGAGTTCCTTTTTTTGGAGTTGTATAATGAGAGACAACCTTCTTTTTTTCATCCTTAAATTGATCTCAATCACATACCATGCAACTTAAACTCATGATTTCTTACTTCCATTAAAAGAAGATTTCTATTGAGTTCATTATTAGGTTGTGATGTCTCGCACTAAAATTAATATTACTTGGCTAAACGGTTGTTATAGTATAATTTTAAATGTCAAATCTACAGGAAAATTATATTAAATCAGCAAAAAGAATTGTTACAATGAGAAATCAAATTAAAAAATGATTTTTAAAATTAAGAATAAAAATATTTAAATACAAGATAATTATAAATGGTTGAAAACAACATTATAATGAACAAGACTTCAAGGTTTACTTAATTGATTTGCTTAATTGTTATAATTTTTATTCTTATTTATTACTCAATTGTATGTTCACGTCCCAAACAAACAATCAGAAGGTATAATTTTGAAAACTAATAATAACAACTAATATATTTATTTTGAGAGAGATTAATTTCAACGAAGAACAAATTAATTTATCCTTACAAGCTATCCGAAAGTAACAATATATTTAATTGACAATACTATAGTAAAGGATGAACTTGTAAAACAAATCTACAAATCAATTATATTTTAACAAATTACACATAAAAGAGCATGATTAATTTTGTATGAAATTTGATGAATATAATTTTTAGGATTTTAAAACCTAAAAATAATTAATGATCTCTTAAAAAGAAAAATTAAACAATAAAATTTATGAAGGAATGAAAATAAAATAATAAGTTAAACTACTCAATTAAGATCCTCCTTATCGTTATTAAAAGTTTAGCAGTGTCTTGACATAAATCTCTAGCACTAGAAAGGGAGAAAATATATGCCTAGGAATGGCTTCTCTAAATGTTAAACCTAGTTTTAAAGGCTCCTATTTATATTAGAAATAAAATAGGAGCGTTTGGTAACTGGGAATTAATTTTATGTTTCTCTTTCTTCCTGCACAATCTTGTAGGATAGGGGTTGAAACCTCAAGTCAAGGTGTGCAACAATGCATGTTTATGTTTTTGAGCATATTTGGCCAGGGGTTGGAACCTGATCATAGGGTGTGAAACCCCTCTTGCTACTATCCATCATTTTGCATTGGTCAGGGGTTGGAACTTGTTTACAAGTTCCAACACCTCATTATCATATCACGTTAACGAACTTTGCTCCTTTAATAAAAAATGGAGAAAATCCCTCTTCAGCCTTCAAACTTCCAATTTTGATCCTTGGACCCTTATTTTCTTAGTTCTTTGCATTTAAGTCATTTGCTTTTAATTTTCTCCATTTAATTATCAAACCTACATTCATAAAAAATTTTCACAATATGAATAAAATGAACACTTATAAAATTACTTGTAGAAAAATACAACTCTTAAATCCATAATTTCACAAATGTCAATGGTTAAGCACATTTTAAATATATATTTTTATGCTTTCATTACAATCCCCAACCAGTTTATTGCTAGTCTCTAGCAATTCAAGCATGAATTAAGAAAGAAAGGATGCTGATTCGCTCAAATTGATATCTAGCAAGACTACCTAGGTATTTAGAAAAAAATCACAATCGCTATCAAGATTACCTCAATTATAACTTTCAAAAATGTATGTGTGTAAACTAAGTATCACCTTCATACCACAAACTGCAACATATATATCCTTGACAATTAATCTAAGTAAAAGCCTTAACTCCATATCCTCAGGGGTCAATAACTATTTAAGGCAAAGGATTTCTCTCATGGAGTTGGAAAATATCAAGTCACTCAAAGAAAAAGGCCAAATTTAAAGGACAATCAAACATTGATTAGAAGGTAGGTTAATTAGCTATTCAAAATTCCACTACTCTTTAAAAATTAGCTTCAAGATTTCAATAAATCAAATATGAGAGCAATAAAAGTAAAGCTTAGTGAGAAAGACTATTCCCTCAAAAAGAGAAAGTTTGTCTTCTAAATTGATGGAAGACTTTATTTTGTAGATTTTTTCTTCTTCTTTTCTCCTCTTTTTTT